TGCATCCGAAATTTTAAGTGTTATCATTGCATACATTTTAATGTTAGAGTCTGCAGTAAAATATTCCCTCGCTGTATCAAGTAGTTTCGAGGTTTTTTTAGAAATCGATTTGGCATCAGCAAGATTTAATATACATGTTTCTGCAATCTCAATGGTTATACGTTGTTCTTCTAAGACAGAAAACAATAAATCTGGCACCTCAGATTTTGTTTCTACTTTTAATATAAGATCTTCTATCTCAGATTTGCTTTCCTTATTTTGTGAGAATTTTTCCATCCGGAAACGTAAAAGAGAAACTCCATAGAAACCCCAAGATATATCTCTAACGGCACGAGCATCCATATAATTTTTAGGCAGTTGATAACTACTTGTCCCTTTTTTTCCTGTTGTTTTCAATCTATCTTCAACAAATTTGTGTATTACACAATCTGCCATAGTAATGTAACTTTTAGCTATAGCAAAATGACTGTTTGCTAAGAAGTATTTCGACAGATCGAATATAGTTAAAGCCATATCAGGACATTTGTCATCAAATTTTCTTTTGTTAACTACCATGTACCTCACTCGGTTGTTTATCAAGGTATTCATGCATCCTACAAATAAGTGCTTATCTTTCGGTCTTGTACGATATCTATCTCCTAATTCCTGTAAAGTTTTATGATGCAAAGTGTCCAAGATAGTCCTAGGATCTGATTCTCTTTCTTTAATATCAACAAGACTTGCGATGTGGATGGGATGACGATAATTATCCTTCGTTGTGTATATTAAATATTCTTCTACCGCTTTATTCAACCAATAAGTATGCTCCTTTGAGAACAGTTTTTCATAAACTGAATTTATTTCGTTAAGTACACCTATATGTAGTAATATAGTTTTATAGTCTGACTCCTTTCCTTTTAACAGTTTCATACATTTTGAAAAATATCTGTAAGCGGTTTTCGAATCGTCATGTTTAGAGTAAACATATTGTAAGCCTATGTTGTAATAAGCTGTCGCTAAAGCAATAATATCATCAATACCCGTGAAAACATCGTTTACATTACTAAATAATGCATTCATTCTCTTTTCTATCGCTTCGATTTTTTTTCTCTTCTTAGCAGGTGCAGTGTCTTCATCCATGTACTTTATTTTAAACGACAATTTCAGAACTTCCAAAAATTTCGTACTAATATTCATACTTGTAGCGGATTCGGCCGGTATCGTTTCTGTATAAAATATAAACAGTACGATAAGTTTAACAGTAAGAATTAATGGTAAAAAATTATTACATGAACATCTAAATAAATTATTTATATGCGTTACCGAATTGATGAATTGCGCGTCTTTCTTCCATTACTTGTCTGAGGAACGGGAACATTAATGCTCGATATTGATATAAAGATAATTTCCAGTATGAATTTATAAATTTGTGTTCCGACTTGCAAACGTTCTCTAATCCTGGATGAAGGATTTCCATGTATACACGTGCTATGAATAGAAGTCGGAGGGGATTTATACCTCCGATAACCAATTGAAAGTTATATTTTATAGGGATAACATTTCTCTTTATCTAGGGTCCCTAGCGCGTTCTCCTATAAGGCATCGAATTGCCAGACGTTGGATACAAACAAGTTTTCCACACAAAAAGGTATAAGATTTCACCCAATAACCGAAAGTGTCGGACTTATTTATTTATTTGTCGAATGATCTTTTGAAAGAGCTCATTGGAATAAACATCCTTTTTATTACAAATTCTAAAAATTTATAATAAAGATGTAATATTCCAATTATAAATAATAACTAGAGGAAATTATAATAATAAGATTAGATTTACAAATTAACTTACTTGTTAATATAGCTTTTTGTGTTAATATTAAAAAATTATTGTATTTGTTAAAATTAACTGTTTCTGGAATCGGGACATTACATGTATATATAAACGTATTTATATACACATATACATACGTTTGTATGACCTTTTTTGCTTATTTTCACTTATTTTTTACGAATAGAATACACCCCTGAAGTAGCGGCTTACATTTATGTTACACTGTGTATAATATCTCATACACAGAGGAAAAAAATATTCTTGAATTAAAATAATTTTTAGTTTTAATGTGGAAATCTTAAAATAAAATTACATATTGCGCTAAACGAAGAGAACTTGAGTGAATGAAGTCATTACATAATTCAACCAAAAAAAAATGTTGAAATAAAAAGTTAAAATTCTTTTAAGAAAATTACAATAATCTTGCGTATATATGAAACAATCTACATCTTCATGTAAAAATTTCAACTTTTTATTTAAACATTTCTTTTTTTGGTTGAAACTATATATATAATGACTTTATTTAAGCAAATTTTCTTCGTTTAATGCAATATAATCTCATTTCAAGATTTCCACGTTAAAACTAAAGATATTTTTAAATCAAAAAATTCTTTTTTTCCTGTGTATAAATCCGAATTATAATATCCATTTCAATTAAAACGTGTAACGTGTAACATGGAGTAGATTGGTTTTGATCTCTAAAAATTTACAAACAATTTAGGATTTAGGAATGCAATTTACGAATTTACTTATAAGAGAGTTAATTTTGCAAATGTTTGAAAAATAAGATTATATGACGCCGCCTGAGTAAAATCATTATCATCAAAAGTAAATTGTTTTGTAGATTTAATGATATCGGTTAAGTTTAATTTCTTGCACACCAAGCACTTACCAAGCGTATATATAAGCATCTTATTTACTATCACCAGGTGCAGTAGTCGCGCATTTCTCGTGGTTGACACCCACAGCTTCCAAATCGCATGCATGACATCAGTTACGCCATATTCCAAATAATATGACTTTCGCAGTTAATTGCGGTTCCCTACATCGGCAAAGTGCTAATGATTACCAGTAGCACCTGTAGTACCGCCGATCATTACGCCCAAATACCTCGGATCACTTTTGACAAGCGCCGAGCCGAGAGAAAGATTGCGTGATTCGCAAACACAAGGTATATATGTATAGTCTATCAATGTGCTGTTACATCGGTGCTCAATGTGTGAACAGCCCTCAACTATATATATACTCACACCATCCATCGTCGCGTCGAGGTATTCGCGTATAGATTACGTAGTCTAAATAGAATCGTGCAACTATTCTATTTAAAATATCTTCTATTAAAAAAATTTTATATGAAGCGGTGTAGCCGGAAGTGTTCATTATAAGCACGTACAACAAGCAATTAAAACGAAGAAATTATTATCGGCGCGCAACACCACTAAGGGATAATTAAGCCACTAAGAAAAGATATATTTTTTAAACAGATCAAATGTAAATTCATCAAATGCGAGTGATTTTTGTTAAAAATAAACTGTTTTCCTCGTTTTTTAAAGCCAATGGTATTTAATTGTATTGTATTAAATCAAATACCTACCCTTTAAGAGATGATAAAACTACGTAATACAAATTAAAAAGAGTAATCACCATTATTAATTAAGAAATTAATAAGTGACAGTCTCATGGAGGTGCACAGATACTTCTAACAAAGTTGCTTAAAACTACGATCTTGTTCTATTGCAGTGTCTGAGCGGCGTATCTAACGCGAATACATTTATTTATTTAGGATTCTTTTCTTTCTTCATGCTAGCTATCTCAGTATTTTCTTTTTATCTGAATAATCTTCCTAGGAACCCCCGAAGTTCATGGTACACGATATTCAAATAATGTAAACATGACTTCTATTAAATTGATTATATAATCGTGCAGCATCATCTTGCGAATAAATTATACTTTGTGCACCGATAAATGTTATACCATTTAACGATTCAAAATCTTAATTTGATTATTATGGCATACATTGTGCTTCAAAGTATAGCATAGCATACAGTTTTAATGGTATAAACAGTTATAGTACTTATCATAATATTATTTTTCTTACAGTTTTTATATTTGAAATTCAAGAACTTCCCTGTTTTTTTTTTTTTTTTTTTAAATTGATTAGTTCAAGCAATGGACGAGGTAATGTGAACGTTTTGGAAATATAATAATTAAAAACGGTTGTACGATAACGATGATTCTACTGGGTATGTTGAATAATACTTACAAGAATAATGCACATAAAAGATGTCGCGTTAGTTTTATAAAAATGCGTTATTATTCTGTCATCATGTCAACCTAGAGAAAGAATGCGTAAATGTTTATCTTGATGGCTACTATATGAGTATTCGTGATTTTTTGCAATCACAATTATCAGACATAAACAGTAAATCGCGTAGCACAAGGAATAGCAGTTATCAGTATAAAAATGTCGGTAAGAGTAAACTAACTGGCACAAAAATAGATAAACATATAAAAACTTGCCCAATTTTTACAATCGATTTAACAAAATAAAAATAAAAGACCACTTAAATAAAATAGATTAAAGTTAAATTTTAATTTCCTTCCTAATTATAAATTTTTAAAAGAAGCAGTACAGAGAAACATACACAAAAAATGTGTTTGTGTCGATAATATATACAGAGTGTAACACATGAGCCGCTACTGCAGGGATGTATTCTACTTATCAAAATAACCAAAAGAGTTCATATAAATGTATGTCCACAAAATGCATCGTTACAGTCATGTTTAAGAGACACGCGAAGAATGATTCATCAGTGGTTTCCTGGTATTCTCATGTTTTTGGGAACATCTAAAATAAATTTTCGTGGCCTGTTGACAACATTAATAATCTTTGTCAGTGCATTGAAAACGGATTCAATGAAATATGCAACACCCGGGCGTTGTGAAAGAGTGAGAAGATTGCTAAGACAGGTGGAAGGTTGTATTTTGACAGGGGACAAGTCACTTTCAACACTTGCTTTAAGATTTGTTTTATTTCATCGTATTTTATCGTAGAGCTATTGCGAATGTCACAGCGGCTGAAATCACGTAATATCCGTTCGACACTATCACAGCAAGTCTTTCAAGTTACCAGTAACACTTTACTTTGGAATCAAACACGCTGCTTTGAGAAGGTAAATTAATATTATACTAGAGTCTGTTGTCAATGCATTTAAATCTATAGAATATATATTTGTCTTTAAATCGCTTACTCAACAAATAAAGTAAATTACA